CTCTCTCTCTCTCTCTCTCTCTTTACCTAACATTCTCGGCACGGGTCCCTGCCATCCTCTAAAACGATTTTATTATTTACTTAGGACACGCACTTGAGCAATTCTCCGTTGTGTCCCGACAATTGGCCATTAAAACGAAGTGGACTGAACGTCGCCTCTTCCTCCTCGAAGCGAGCGACAATTTATCAGCTCAATAAAATTTATTACTTACGTCCGTTGGTTGTTAGGATCTACGACGATAGTGTATCGTCTTTCTAACGTCTAACCAAGGGTCTTTCATCTATTTCTCTCTCTCTCTCTCTCTCTCTGTCTCTTTTTTTGTTCTCTCTTTCTCTGTCTCTTCCTTTCTCCAGCTTTCGTATTTTCCCTTTCGATAATCTCACGAAATTACCATAAAACGAGCCACGTTCCTCGCTTTGTGATCTTCTCATGCACTCTTCATAATAGCATCTCTCTTCTTCTTTATATCTCTTTCTTTCTCTTTTTCCTGTCACTCGTAGACGACAACGAACTCATGAGTCTGGACGTAGGTTGTTTTCAGACTGTTTAATGTCTCGTAAAGAATACAAAACTAGTGAATTCACATACGCTTGCGGATTCTTTTATACGATATATATATATATATATATTTATATATACGAATGTATTCTTTTCGTGACCGAATATCTCAACTGTATATTTATTCTTCGAGTTGATCTTATTTGACTTTAATCTCACGTAAATGTTAAACGATTTACGTCAATGCGAAATAATTCAAATATATACGAGATTAACGTACACGATTGCGATTATTTCTAGAGAATTTATTTATATGTCGTAAGATAGATTATATTGAACATATTTTAGAATATCATTATTATTAATTAGACTTTTCACATAGACTTTTTTTTATATGTTTCAATATAAACGAAGATTTTTTTTTTTAAAGAAATGATTTTATCGAGTAATACGAGCAAAACTTGTTTTTGTTAATCGTTCAAGTTATTCCTATAGATGGAATTGGAAAGGATATAATGAGTGTCTTTTTGTGAGGACAACTTGGTAAGAAATTTTGTAAGATGTAACCAGAATCCTCGAACGAGCAGTAAACGAGTTTCGCGGTTAAAGGGCAATTGCTCATGTTCAAATCGATTGGAAGGGATTGGAAGGGTCTCTCTCTCTCTCTCTCTCTCTCTCTCTCTCTCTCTCTCTCTCTCTCTCTCTCTCTCTCTCTNCTCTCTCTCTCTCTCTCTCTCTCTCTCTCTCTCTCTCTCTCTCTTGCGATACAGATTGGAGCTCATTAGAAGTTAACGAGAGAATTATGGTCTGCCAGGAAGATAACAGGGTAATCAGAGTTTGGCAAAGTAAATCTATTAGACATTGGATTCCCTTAGAGAATAATGAAAGGAGCTTTATCATTTTCTTTATCTTGTCTACACCATTTCCAACTATTTTTCTTTCTTTTACTTTTTTATTATTTATTTTTTTTTTTTTTTTATCAAAGTAACATTGCCACGATACGATCTTTTGTTTCTTATTTCTGTCAGATATTAGGGTAGAAATCAAGATCAAAAGAAGGTACCTGGTCCTTCGATCAAACAATAGAAGAAAGATTGGTAAAGGAAGGGGGTGAGGGGAAAAGATGTGAGAAACTAAATGGAAAGGATAACAGGTAGAAAAGCATTGTTTAGTTTTCTCGCTTTGACTTGCATCGTGCCAATCAATCTCAACTATGTTTCTTCTTTTTCAAAATGAACCACCTACTTACTTTTCTTTGCTTGACACCCAACTTACACGCGACACTCTTCCTTTTCTATTTCTCTTTCTCACATTATACCGAAAATTAGACGATTGTAAATCTCATGGTAGTATTGTTGTTAATAACGAGTCTTCATTTCTCTTCCGTGTTTGCCTTTGCGACTTGACTCGAAACTTTCGTACTCTGTCAGAGCTTTTCTATTCGTAATTAAAAAAGAAAAATCTTCCTTGCTTTCTCTTTTTTCATTGAAATATCAAAGATTGACATGTCAAAATGATTTGTTCTTTGGAGAAAAGAAAAAAAATATTCAGATAGAAAAAAAGAAAAAGAAAATAATTTCTGACAAATCTAGTCGTACTCTCTTTAAATCTAAAAGATCGTTAGCCTTGTTATCAATGAGTTCCGTTACGATAAAGAATAATCTATTTCCTTTCCTGCGATAGTTGTCATATTTTTTTGATATTTAACGACATCTCTCGTGTCCTGTCCGATGATGAGACATCATCATTGGTAGAATTCTTTTATTACTAATGATAGATTTCATTTACAAAACTATGAATATTTTAGACATTTTAATAAGTGTATCGTGCTTTGTTTTTGTTTGTGTTTTTATTTCATCGGTATAATTAAAATCGATCATCTAAGAGGATAGAGAACCTTTTTGCAATTTCGTCGGTACAAATAACGGACTCGTCCCAGATTAAAAGGAAAGTTCTCGGAATACGTGTTGCTCGAATGTTTTCGATTTATTGATAACGTTTTATTAAATATATATATATTTTTTTTTTATTTTCCATCGATTTGATAACATTCACGTATATTTTAGATTTTTTTGTAACACGCACGCGTATGTACATACACATGTACACACATTAAAACAAATACGTCTGTGACGTTGGTTATGTTTAACGTGTTCTCGATAACTCTAATCATGTTTAACGCCAATAGGAATTCTCGATATTCTTTCGTTGTTCTTTCTGCCAACATGAGTTTGCAATTTAACGATTTAATCGGCCATATGGCATGAAAAAGTCATTCGAATGATGTATCGTAACAAACTAGCTTTGCTCGATATATTTCTAAGCACCATGTGTTGCGATCGTGTTCTCTGAAACAGAACGGAGATACGAGCAAAGCCTACACCTAACTGTGGCTTTAGTTAAAGTCGGTTCATACCAACTATCTGTACAAGTAATTTGTTCAGAAATATAGGTCGCCACGGTATAACAGAATAAAGAACAAAATTACTCAACGAACTTAATTACATTAATCATGATAATTACGAAAAAAGAAAAAAAAAAAGAAAATAATTTTTACTCGGAACACATTTCCAACGAAACGATTGATGTTACTCGAAAACATCAAATTAATAATACTACTTCTGAAAATCTTTAATTATATATAT